CAACATGTTGCTCAGAGCATCTGCAGCTCAGAGGCTGGAACAGGGACACCACAGGGCCCTGTCACACTACAGGTGGCTTCCTGTTCCCCTGACTCATCTTCTGGACGCTGCCAACTCCTCTGAACACACATGCACACCCAAACATGGATACATGCACAGACACGAGTGTGTACCTGTGTGTGACCTATGTACACACATACATGAACACACACCTGAGTGTGCACACACATGAAGGTGGCCACATTGGGTTGACCCCCATAGTGCGGCATCCAGGGTCTCCTCCGTTCTGAACCCTGGGATTCAAGCAGCATGACTCTAAGCTTTCTTCTTATTCCCGACTAAAGGCAGAGCAAACACCCAACTTGGACATCAAATCAGGCCCTGCCTTTTTCCAATTCAAGGGCCAATCATTCAGGATCTACACTGCCTTCAGTCCCGGCCTGGACTGCCACCCTCCTCCTGAGGCTGGTGTCTCAGCACAGCACGTTGTAAGAGGGCGGGGCACCTTAGCATAAGAACTCAGTAGGTCCCAGCACACAACGGAGAAGAGGGCAGGGGAATGGAGATGGTTGAAAAGATCAGAGCACAGCTGGGCGGTGGTGGCGCACACCTTTAATCCCGGTGCTAGGGAGGCAGAGGCAGGAGGATCTCTGAGTTCAAGGCCAGCCTGGTCTATGAGAGCTAGTTCCAGGACAGGCGCCAAAGCTACACAGAGAAACCCTGTCTCAGAAAAAAAAAAAAATGAGAGGACGAGTCCCAGGGAGGGAAGTGGGAAACACAGGACACAAGCCCATACTGGCCTGGGTTGAGTGGTGGGAGGTCCACTCATCTCATTGAGTGCTCGAAAATCCCAGACCTAGTCACTGTCCTTATGGCACGTTGGCCCCACTCAGGCGCACATAATCTCACGGATCCAGACAAGGTCTGAGCGTGGACTCCTCATTCTACAGTCAAGACCATGAAGTAACACAAGGACATGAAAGCAGGGGTACAGGACACTGTCCAGGTACTGCTGGGACTCTGTCCAGGCTACATCTGTCCTTGAGGATACATCTCCCCCTACTGACGCATCTACCCCAAAGAAAATACACTGGAACATCCCCCTGGCCTGAGTGTCCATGAGCTTGCACAACCGAGTGTCACGTGTGTGTAAGATTATATCCACTCCTAAATGTGTGTATGCTTTGTGTGTGCACAAGAAGACATGAGGTTCTAAGTGCAGGTGAACATGTATGTACTGGTGTGTGGGCATAGGTGCACATAGGTATATACAGGCGGATGTGAACGTCCATCGAGGGTCTTGAATGTGCACTGATTTGTGTGTGTGTTTCCATGTGCATCTGCATGGATACAAAGGTGACAGTGAGCTTGAGTATGCGTGGAGGTGTATTTGTGTGGATGTGTGGGAGGGCATATAGGATCATGGGTGTGTCTACATGCAAACACAAGTGAGCGAGTGGGAGAATATGGCAGGATGCACGTGAAGCATTTGTGTAGGTGCCTGCACGGGAGTGTGTGAGTGAGTGTGCTTCTGAGCGGGCATGTGTGCTTGCACGTGAGGGTGAACAGGGGAGGGGCAGGTATGACTCATGTCCCCAGACACAGTAAAACAGTGTCCTACAGAGCAGAGGTTCCTTCCTTGCCTCACTCATCCCTAGATGAAAACAAGAGCCCACAGTTAATAGAGCAGTCTCCCTGCCCCGCCCCCTGCTAGTCCTGTCCACACTGAGGCTTGGGTCCCACTCCTCTAACCTCCTAGGCTGCCAGTCCTGGCTCCATAGGGCCTGCCAAGCAAGGGGAAGGCACAGGCCCCGGGTCGCAGGGACACCACCCCACCACAGCCACAGGGCCCTCCTGGCCACATTCAGCTCGGGCCATTGCAGTAGGAAGAGGACAGGCAGCGTGTCCTGTCATCACATCCTAGGAGTCCCTTTCCATGGGTGATCTCAACACATTGAAAGCACCTCGCTCCAAAGTGCGGCTCGCACAGCCAGAGAGAAACTAGCAGATCAGTGACATCACGCACCTGACTAAGATGGCAGATTCCACGTCATTGATTTCAGAAGGCTGACAGGACACGGAACGCCTTCCAGACATGGTCCACACATGGTACCTAGAAAACGCAGCTGTCCTATGACACTGCTCCCATTGACAGTGGGGGAAACCGAGGCACAGAGATCCTCCAGCACCCCAGCTCACAGGATTTTGCAAGCACCCCTGAAATGCTTGGAGACCCCTCACTCACAAGCCCACCTGCTCTGTGCACAAAGTTACCCGTGCACCCAAGGAACTCAGCCCTTACCCCAGAGATGGCAAGGATGTTAAAGTAAAGAGAATACATCAGAAGCCATCGGAACCCCAGAGGGCGCTGCCCACAGCTTGGGTGACAGACAGAAACAAGAGCAAACATATTCCTTAACAACCCTGATCTCCATTACAGGCATCCGACAGAAACTGAAGTCCATTTCCTCTACCCTGATAGGCAGCCTAGCTGAAAACACACAGTGTAGACAAGTTCAGTAGACCTGAGCTACTTCAAAGAGAAAAAAGATAATAACAGTAATACAGACTCATCTGGGGCAAAAAGCAAGCGCACGGGGTCTACGAAGAACACTAGGTAAAGCTCAGAGCCAGTGGGCACAAGTCTGTCTGTGTCGTCTACCCCAGGCTCAGGAAGGGATGGCAGGAGACCACTGTGGATGGAGGCCGTGGGCCACTGGCTAGACCAGCCCAGGCCCACTTTTCCCAAGAACCTCCTCCCCTCAGTAGCACGCTGAGACAGTGGCCTTCTGCTCTTCTATCTTACTTCCCCACGGCTCTCGGAACCTCCCTGAAGATGGGCAGCGGTTCTGGAAGGGACCTTCTTCCCTGCACAGGACAGGATTTGGAGCCCAAACCTCTCTGCAAAATGCAGGTCTGCTCGGAGTCTCTACCCTTGACCGGAAGGTCTGAAGTGGGGAAGCCCACCTGACTCTGGAGCTTTCCTAAGACTCAGCTCCAAAGGACTCCTGTGCAGAACTAACACCCCAAAAGCAGCATCCCCTGTGTGTGCAGCAAGGGCCACCCTACAGGGTTTCCACCATGACTCATTCTCTCAGATTCTTCTGCATAGCTGCTCCAAACCTTCTTCCCCATTACTGCCTGCCTAGAATTAGGAGGCGAGGAGGCAGCGCCATCAGCAGAGGAAACGGGCTGAAGGGAGGTGGCAGAAAGGCGGTGAAGTACACCAGCACTTCCTAAAGCAAGTGCCACCTTCTCCGGACATCTCAAACACTAAGGGGCAGAGTTCACTGACAGGCTGCAGGGTGCTTGGTATTCTGTAAGGGGAAGACGTTTGAAACCCTTGAGGACTACCTACGTGCTTCCCTTCATTACAGGTTTCCCTACCTTGATCCCCATTTAGGCGTCAATATGAGACGTGAATACAAATATTATAGAGGATAAAATGCTTTCGAAATGGCAGAGGATTTTCAACACATGCTTTCCTTATGGACATTTTACCTTCACACTGCCTCTGTGGAAGCAGCATCTTCCCCTGTGGCAGGGGCATGGCTGAGTTCAGTGAGGGATGGGGGATTTATATCAAATTGGAGGTCAGTCACTGGGAAACCTGGGTACCAGCTACCTAAGAATCCTTGTTTTCACGTGAGCTTCCTTCCCGCACTGGAGTAACAAGGGCTCCTCTATCCCAGAGGGAGGGGCACTGGCACCTTCGCAGACTCCTCCCTCTGGCCTTTTACATCTTTGCTCTAAAAGGAATGCCAAGGGGCTGGGTAGGGGAGAAAATTACCAGTTTAAAAAGGACCTGAGCCCATGTCTCTCACTAGCCCTACAATGTATGCTGAGCATGAGACCTGCCATCATGGCCTCTGGAACCATGTACTGCTTCCTGACATCAGGAGAGGGTGTGCATCCTATAGTTGCCAGGTACACCTGACTAACACCCCCCCCTCTCTCACACACACCAGCTATTCTCCCCCAATTTGGATCCTGGCGCAGCCCAGCCCCCCACAACTTCCCATGTGCTCCCAAGGCTACCTTCTTTCCTTATATGGGCTCCCCCACCTATCTGCCTCTCATCTCCCTCCTGCTGTTCTGTAGCTAGACCTAGAAACACAACACTCCCTCAGCTGCCAATCCTAGGCAGGACCAGTGCAGGGGAAGGTACCAAACTCCTGGGAACTGTCTCCCGGTCCACCATCACCACCCCCATGTGTCTGGGTACAGTGGTCTGGGAGAACAGGGACATCCGGAGTCCAGGAGGAGCCTCAAGAGGAATCCTATGCCCTTGTCCCAGCAGCCACCTCACCCGCCCAAGTTGAAAGAGACAAAGTTCCAGGCTCTGTGGAACAAGGGTAAAGGCTTCTAGGAGCAGAGAGGGTGAAGATCAGATTGTGAGTGACCTTGGCAAACTCCTCTCCTTTGGAACAGGAGTTAGGATGGTTAGAGATATAGGAGGCGTTCAAAGTCCATTCCCTCCCACTGACTGCTCCCACGGGTCCGCGGAATTGAGAAGCAAGCCCCAGACGCTGCCGCTATAGGTGAACTGGAGAGGAGCCCAGGGACTGAGCGCTCCGCCAGACTAGAAGCCTGGCCTCAAGACCGCGCATCCGCGCATCCTCCCACTTTTCATCCCTCAACGGAGATGGGTGCAACCCAAAGCAGTGGGTCAGGCTTAGGCTCCCGCTTGGGCACACAAATACTGCCTGACCTTGGGCGTTTTACACACACACACACACACACACACACACACACACACACACGCGCGGTCTCGCGTCTCCACCCTAAAGACACTGTGGACTCTTATCTCGGAAGAAACCCCAAGTGCTAACCCTGACTGCATTCCCAGCTTGCTGAGTGACCTTGAACACTCACACCTCTCTTCAGAACCTCAGTTTCCCCACCCTCCCCATAGAAAGAAGAATGTTAAACTCCTGGCACCAGCAGTCCCGCTGGCAGGTGTGTCTCCAACCCAATGGAGGGCGCGTGATGGCACTTACCGTCCTCCAGAGACGTGGGCGCTTGGCAGGGACCAAGGCGGCTGTGACCAGTAAGTGAGAGGCAGCCACCACAAGCCCGAAGCCGATGACCAGCAGGCTGCGCACGGGCAGCAAGGCATAGGACACGAAGGTGATCAAAAGGAGTTGCCAAACCCCCTGCTCAGCAACCGCGGCTCCCACTGCGCCTCCCGCAGAACCCCTCGCCGGGCCACCCAGCGCGAAGGGGCAGCAGAGTAGCGCGAAGGTGAGGCTGAAGAACAGCGCCAGCTGACCGACCTGCTGCAGCTGGGACACCTGCAGGGATCGGACATTGGTGACCACGAACAGCGCCAGAAAGAGGATGCAGTGCACGGGGTGAGACCCCTTGGCGAGGCCAGGCGCGGGACCCGGCGCGCCCAGCAGTTCAGCCAGCGCCAGGGAGCCCGCCAGCAGGCTAAGCACCGCCAGCGCCTTCAGCGTGGCCGCCTGCTCCAGCCGCAGCGTGTAGCCGCGAAACAGCGCCTCCAGCTCGGGGCACGCGAACTCCTCGCCACACGCCCGGAGCCCGCGCCGGCCGCCCGGCCCAGCCGCCCGCTCTGCGCCCCCGGGCTCGCCCGCGCCTCCGCCGCCGCCTTGGCCGCGCGGCGCCCCCGCCATCTCAGCGCCATGCAGCGGCCGCGGCCACGGGCGCGCCCCTCGCCGGCCCGGGGCGCCGGGGCGCGGGCGGCGGCGCCGGGGCGGGCGGGCGGCGGGCGGCGAGGCGCCGGGGCGCGGGGCGGGCGGAGTTGGGGCGCCGGCTGCCCAGCGCGCGCGCCCCGAGCGCGTCCCCTCCCGCCCGCCGCGCCTGCGCACTGGCGCCCGCCCGCGCCCCGGCTGTGGTCCTCCGCGGCGACCGCGCTGCGACAAGCAAGCCCCACGAGCCCCGGTCCTGGGCGGGCAGAGTCCGCGCCCAACTCTGCGCCCCACGTCTCACTCGCCCGAGAGGCCACGTGACCTTGGGTACCGCTCTTGCCTTTCCGAGCCTCGATTTTCCCACCTATGCACAGCGGAGCCCACCCATCCCCACCCCCAGGAGTCTCTTGAGGCGTTTAAAAAAAAAAAAAAAAAAAAAAGCCGAAATTCCCAGTTGAGAGGAACAGCCCTGCCAGGTGTATGTCCCCTCCCCAAACAGAACCAGGTCACCGGAGAGGAGCCCTTACTCCGCTTTAGACTCAGTCAATGCCCACCGAGAAGCCCCGTGGATCCCTGGTCACACATGCAGGGAGCTCTAAGTGTCTGGTTTGCCCACCGCCTGGGTGGGTGGTGGGAGCTCTGTCTGTTGTTCTAAACAAGAATAGAGCGCTGCAATGTCCAGGTATAGGTGCATGGATGGGTGAGGGCAGGAAGGAGAGATAAAACAGCTCCGCTGACTCCCTAAATAGGAGCTAGCCATGCAAATGATGGCAAGACGTTTTCTTCCTGCGGAACAAGTGGCAGGGACAGATCCACCGCTGATGCCTGGTTTGCACCCTCGTGATATCCATTCACTATCAGAATGGACCTTACAGAATTTCATCTGGTGCTCAGGATGGACCCCTGAGGTCGCTGCCTCTGTTCCCCTTTAAAGAGGGTCCCAGAGGAACCAGACAGTAGAAAGGATGAGAGGAGCCCTTGCCACCTTTGGATCCCATGGGTGCACAGGAGCTATGTCCCTCACGAAATTTTGTAACCCAGACATTATTCCTCCTACAGGAGGCCCTATTTCCAAATGCTCAGTTTCAATCTATCCTGCTCAAACTCTACTCTGTTTTAGAGGACCCCAGGGATTCTCGGGGTAAGAGCAACTGCCCTCCTATTCTATAGATGCAAGGATTAGAATTTAAGGTGTTCCAGTTTTCATTGGAATTAGTGTTAGTTTGAGCCCCATGAAACTGTCGTTTTTACATGTTCCACTCAACCTTTCCAATAGTTCACAACCAAGGTCTTCTGGAATCGCTTGATAGCCTGCTAATCCCTCTGCTTGGAGCAGACTCCCCAGGAAGACACTCCCAGTGCGAAGCCTGCCTGGCACCAGCCTGCACCCAGGCTGTTTTCACCCCAGTCCTGCCCCTTCCATGAAGGTTCACACCTAGTGCTCTGCAGCCTCATTCTCTGGTCATTTTTCTCTCTCTGTTCTTTTGGCTGAAACCCAAGGAGAGCACCAGCTGATGCCGAAAAGACGGTCCGGCTCTATCCTTAGGTCACTGCATTGAAAAGCACCACTGTGACCACCTGATTCCTGCTTGTCTTTACTAATAAGTCTGCAAGGTTTCTCAAGTATCTGCATCAGGTAGAATCTCTTGTCACTTAGTGTTGTATGGTTTCATATCCTAGTGGTTTTATTAAAGCAAACCTGAGCAATATCCAGAAGTGTTCCTACTACATAAAAAAAATGAAAGACATATGGTGAAGTCATTTAAATGCAAAGTTCATAAGTAAGCTGCACCTGCTTGCTTCTGTGTCGACTTGCAATTCCTTCTTCACTCATTTTTTTTTTGAGTCAGCAGCAACTGCTTTCAAGAGAACCTGGAGGAACCTATATTCGGGTTTGGAAAGAAGGTGGGTCATAGAATGACCCTTTTGCTCACTGACACAGCTACCCTTCTGCTTATGTCTATCTGACATACCTTACTTGGCATCTTGGAAAACAGCCTTTGTCACCTTTGTTTTGTTGGTAAAGAACCAGACTCCAGAGATGCTCAGTTGCTGGCTCAGTCTCAGAGTCTAGAGGGAGCATGGGGTTCCTTCAAGCCCTGTCGAAAATCCTTAGATGGCACAGGAGCCCATAATTGCTATTGTCATCATGGGCTTGTACACTACTGTGCTAACGTTCTCCCATCACGTGCCAGGCTGGAAGAAGGGCTTCAGTGGACAGTCTACAGCCACAGACAGAGAGGGAGCAGGGGTGGTGCGTACCTCCCGTATGACTGCTGTCCTTATCAAAGGAGGAAGTCTGGGCCGTTTCACACACAGGCAGAGTACCATGAATGACACTGTCAGAAGCCAAGGATCTACTAGAAAGTCTAGAGAAAGGCCTAGAACAAATCTTCCCTAGCAGGGTCACAAATAAAAACTCTAATCTCCTATGGAGTATCTGCCACTCCAAAAGATGTCAACAACTAGGGAGGCAGCATGGCTAGCCGTAGATATGTAGATATGTCTGAGAAGCCAGAATCTTGGTCACTTCCCAGTCCCTACAGCATCTCTCCTCTTCATCATCCACTCCAGTCTCTCTCTCTAATAATAACTAAATTTAATTTAAAAAACTCACGGTGCATTTTGAGCACTCTCGTCCAGTGGGTGGATTTCAGGCACAGTCTCCTCTTCTACGCATATGGAAGAGCATCGCTGGCCATCGTCTGCTGGTCTCTATTACAAAGCCTTCCCGTGTGTTTTTTGTATCGATGCCTCGAGACTGCATAGGAGAGGATCATTCAGGTGGTGCAGAGTGGCTCTGGTCTGAAGCCTCAGCCCGTCTGGCCCAGTCCTATTTCATGTCTACCCTAGCAGGTCGTGAGACATCACGGCTAAAAGAATGTGAATGCCTGAGCTAACATCTCAGGGACGCCCTGCCAGATGTGTGACTTTCAGCAAGCTATTCATCCTGTCTGTGTTCTGACTGTGAATTGTGGATTTAATTTCCCTAGCAAAATGTGGGAAGAAGGAGCCACAGTCACACCGACTACCATTCCTACGCATAAAATAAACATGATTTTGCTTTACCAATTCAGTGCTCTATATACACACAAGTGGATCACTCAAACTCTTGATTCAGCCGTCTAGACAGTGGCCCTAGTAGCCAGAGAACTCACACGGTCCTGCTTTTTAGCTCACTGATTTCCGTGGATTGCAGTCAGGGATCAGCATTTAGAAGACTGTATACCATAGTCTATTTCCACTCCATATTTAGAGACCATGTTTCCCTGTGAACCTGTAGGGAGATTAGTGTCTACTTTAATAGCCTTTGGGCCACTGCCAACACAGGGATAAGGGTTGCCAGCCCTGTGACTATAGGATGCTCAGTAGAGTTAATATTTCTGTGCTCATTTTTAAGTGATCAAATGCACATATGAAGGTCTCATAATGTGGAGCAATCAAAGCTTTTGATGTGCTGGGCTCATCCTTGAGCAAGCTGATCCCTGCTGTGGGTCCAATACGGTTTGTCTTGACCAAAATTTATGTTGGGGCTTAATTAGTCCACGTGTCAGCATTCACAGGTGGGTCCTAGTGGGAGATGTATGGGTCAAAGGGGTGAAGCCCTCATAAGTGGACTGCAGGGACAGTTAGCCGTTCTGCCCCCTTTCCAAGTCCCCGTGCACCCCTGGTCCATCCCCTCTTCCACTTTATGCCCATGTGTAATTCTGCACGAGGCCTCCAGAAGCCGAGCAGAGTCTGACATTGTGTTCTTAGATTCTCAGCTTTCAGAACTGTGAGTCAAATTACCCCTTTTTCTTTATAAAGTCCCCATCCGTGGGCACTCTGGTACAGCAGCAGAAAATGAAGTAGGACAGGCCCTGGCTTGCTGCCGTCATCTTCAGACGCTGCACACACCGTGTCGCCGCCATTTTCAGTCTTTTCCGTGTGCTTCCTTGGAGCATCCGGGCAGAGGAAAGGGATTTCTGCTTCACTTGATGACCATCAGAAACTGTCTCATGCATCTGTTCAGGACTCTTATTTTCAAAAGGACAAAAAGCCTCAGGCTGTCATAATCCAAAACAGAAAAGGTCTGGCTCTTGTGACTGAAGGTCTGGGCTGGTCACAGCTGTGTCCATTCCAGAACTCCAGAGCCTAGAAATACTACAGATGGGGCTTCCACTGCCACCTGCCAGGCTTGGACATGACCACACGAGCAGGTGGGAGGTGTGGGCTCTTCTTTCTTTGCTCCTGGGCCTGGGGACAGTGCCCAGATAGCTGGAACTGAAAATAAAGTGTTCCAGCACTCCAGGCAGAACTGCAGCTGCACAAGGAGGCGTGGGGAATGAGCAGCAGACGTCACCGGAACTCAGCAGGCAAGATCTGGGCTCGTTGATTCGGCCACTTCAAGCGCCGTTGTCTTGTGGGGTTCCCTGTGGCACAGAAAGAGGGAAAAGCGGCTGTTGGACATTCAGGCTTATGTGTTGTCTTCAGTGTAACCCTAGAACTTGTTATCTATTTCGTGACCCTTCCAGGGGAGACACCAATAAGCACCTATTCACTGTAATAGGGCACCAATTTCAGACGAAAGAGACAACAATCCCACACAAACTCCGGTTGGTAAGCCAGTGAATTTACTGAGCTTGCTTACAGGAGCATGGGTGACCCCACACTGTGCCACTGCAAAGTCTCCCCCAGCCTGGATGATGACTTTCCCATGGCTGCAGTGGGTGGAGGCCCCACTTCAGCTAACCTCTCGCCCCTTCTTACTCAAACACCGGATAACCACAGCTAGGCCAGAACCTCGTGTAGGTAGTAAGGCAGTGTAGAAGGGTCTCTTGCGGGTCATCCGAGGGTCGCTCTGCTCAGAGGACAGAGCTCCACACTAGCCTAGGATCCACTGTTCCTGCCATTCCTTCAAGACTTCTTGTTCTCTGCTTAAAAGTTTGAAATCACCGTATTTCGGCATTTCCTTAGATTTCAGTCTAGTGATTGTCCCCATGTCC